TTGGTTGTTTGCTTGTTTATGTTTCGTTTATGATAAAAACCGTATGGCGACTGATTTATTCGCAAAGGCGATGATGCTGCACATGTGTTACAATACCCGAAAGGTGATTGGCTGTTATTAAGACTATACTGCTGAATGCGTATCGCGAACATAACCGTGAGCAATTTCGGGCTGTGCGGCATTTGTCGACGGGGCATTTTCCCCCACGCCCAGGCAGTGTCCTGTTTGTATCGGTGGGGGGTGCGGAACATGGGGTGGTGTGTGAGCGGTGATCGCGGGACAAAAGAAAATGATTTGACTGTGTTCGCGTAAGTACCTCGCTCCCAATCCGTTAAAAAAACACTTCACGCCGAAGATGTCTGGCGTATCACTGACGTCTCAGCAATAAGTTCAGTGTATGCACGTCTCAATATGGCATGCAGCCTCGAATGTGGTGTGCGGTCGCTTTCCACCGTTCTCAGTTTGAGGAATCAGTATGCAATCACAGGCGTGTTCGGCCAACGGAAAATTATTCAACGAATAGCAATCTCTTCGGGAATCGTCCATGGAGATTTTCCATTTATACTCGACCGGTCCGGAAATCATCCCCCGGATTAGTCTCCTATACGCCATCCACAGCCAACGGTCATAGCTATGCATGGCGAAAACAGATTCTTCGTCTTGACCATGCCCTGAAAATTCTCCGGGATTCTCCGTCGCTACGGAAAATTATCGGACAATTTTCCGTGACGGCACTGCCGAACGCCATTCCGAAAAATTTCCAATATTCCGGATAATTTTACAAGAGTATCTGCCGGCCGGACGCGCCCCGCAAAAATGGCAAAAATGCCTTCAAACATGCCGGCAAAAATGCCTTCGAAAATAAAACAAAGTCTTGAAAAAGCAGATGCACGCGGCAGCTGAATAGATGAAATTATGTTTGATCTTTCACGTCATGGAAGGTCCTCTCATTTAAGTACTGTTTGTAAGCACGAACACCAATCGACTACGTCAAAATCACCATAATGTCCTAAACCGCATTCCAGAAGCAGATGACGACTGTATTATGGTGTTTTCTGTCCTGAAGTGCATTTGTCATGCAACCTTGTCAAATAAATAAGACACAGTGGCCTCGAAGTGATTCAGATTTTCCTCTTACCATTATCTATTCTCCACCGCACAGCCATCGACGCGCCGTTTATGGCATGCTGTGTAAAAACGGGGATAATAAAAAAATATGTGGTCTGCGGACATTCGCCCTATCTCGTCATATCACTGTCCTTGAGCAATGCCACAAAAACGAGACATATAGCTCCATGCTGCAGAAATACCTTAATGACAACAACAAAAAATACGAAAAGGATGTCCAGGAACTCTTTTTACTATTGGCATAGCCCGATTAACCGCAACTTTCCATTTTCATCGAATCCCTCATTGACGTCACATGCTGATGTAATCGCTTACATAGAATTGCACACATACGGAGAATTTTCGAGGAAATGGGCAAGGTAGACAAAACAAAGGCACTAGTTAGAGTCAGATGTCGTTAGTTAGTCAGATGCTGACAGAAAACAATCATCACACCGAGAGAAGAAAGCATTACTTGTAAGCGCCCTGTGGTCGTGGCAGTAAATTGTATCTTCAGACATAGATGCACAAGCTCTATGCCACGATGTTCATAGCTTCGACAGCTGTGACGCATTTGATACATTAGTCGCTGCGGGCTGTCTTGACAAGCGAGTAAGACAAGGGCAACGGAGAGTTCACAATTTCCCATCCGTTTAATTAAACATTAATATTGATTGTGACTTGTGAGACATGGTCTGTGTGTGAACCAAAACCGTTTGAGTGCGCCACGCGGTCAAAATAACAACCAAGGGCAGTGTGTAGTAGCGTATATTTGAAGGACCAACGTTTCTGCTCCTCAGTGAAATACGGCCTAATTTTCAAAACTTGAGTTGACTGGGGTGAGGTGAGGTGTGCAAACTGCTCAATTTCAGTACAATTGAACAGTTCGTTCAAAACTGTTCAATTTCATCACCTTAGTTTGCTGGTGTATCACGTCTGCCAGCTTTTTTTCTGCCGCTGGTGTTCTTGCTGCGCAAATAATCCTTGTCATAATTGCTTTGCGTTCTGTATCACAGCGTAGTTTTTGGATGATTTTGAAACTTGAAGAATAACAAAAATACCCTACTTTGACGGTTAAAACATTTGACTTCCAGAAGCCCGCCAAGTCTTCCCATAACTCAGCCAGAAGCCGCGTGTTCTTGCGTGTCAGACATTGCCGGGTTGGCGGTTGAAAGACATTGCCGGGTTGGCGAGTGTCTCAAGCGTGCCACGAGGCCAGTCAGTATTGTATTGATTTCATACTACACTCTGGTGATTGAGACCGCGTTAGGAAATGAAAGGCCTACTTCGGTAATACCGTCAGTCTCAGGTACTTATAAAACCATTCTAAGTGATAGATTTACGGCTTGAGAGATACAGTAGTGCAAAGTGCATAACTTTGGAAAGCCCTGCCAATCTAGGGGGCTTTTTGTTTGTGTTAGCTGAACCGTGCATTGAGATGTCACGCATGCAGGGTAATGTCATCGGAAATGCACGAGTGAAAATCCTACCTGCATGATGAGCATGCCAATCATGACATTTGGTCATGGCTCATTCATTATCTCTTGCCCTGATTCGCTGTTTTTCTTAACGCGGACTGATAAGGGGGCGGGGGGGGGCGGGGTATCGATGCGACTTCTCCCCATGGTATTTCGAGCCTAAGGAAGATGCATTCATTGCGTGACATGCGGTCCCTCCTATGTCGGAAATGCGGCCCCTTCTCCGCCGGACACGCCGCCCGTCTTCTGTGCCGGAAACACGGTCGTCTTAGTGTTGGACGGCTGCTCCTGTCTCGGACATTCGGCATCTCATGTGCTGGCACGCGGCCGGTCCAGTGTCGGACACGCAGCCTTTCCTGTGCTCGACGGCCGCCCCTGTCTTGGACTCTTGGTCCGGACATCCCGCCCCTCCTGTACCGGACATCCTACGGTTGCCATGATCGGAACAGCGGTGTTCAAGTGAGTGGCTCACTGCCGCTACAATGAGATACTGGCGCCGCGTGCTGTGAAAATGCGGAGTATTGTAATGGGTAATTGCGAGTTAATGCAACAAACATCTCACGCCTTTTCACGTGTACGTGATCTGTAGTCATTGAGGTCATAGGTCCATAACTGGAACACATGATGTGCTGTAGGTGGATACACCCACAACAACGGGTTAGCGAATAAATGTTGCGGGTTTTGTTAATACACCCGCAACAACAACAGGCTAGCGAACAAATGCAGTAGGTGTTGTTGATATGTAGCATATTCGAATGCCTCTTTTGAAAAGTCGCGATTTTGATGCTAAAAAGTGGCATGGAAAAATCAGAATGGTTGTTCAACACAAGGAAATCGTCATGTAGCAAAAACTGGCAACACCTGAAATCCGAAAAACAACCAATCTACTTATTCAAATCTCTCGCCAATAAAAATGTCCTCATTGTCTCTGATCACAATCTTCGTTGGAGCTCTCACGTTTCGCATGTTAGTAAACGCTGTTTTGATATTTTAGCTGGTCATCACATCTGTTGCTCAGCCTGCCTGCCAGCCTCCTGATAACCGTGGTAAACGCCTCGGTTCTGCCGCCGGTCCATTATTGCATATCAGAGCATGGCAACGGCTCACAGCACAATATGTCCAGGATTCAAAAGTGTCAAGCTTTGCTTCAAAACTCACTTTCGGCCGCCAGAAAATCGATGGTGTGTCGGACCAACATTAGAGGCTTGGGTGGCTGTCCGCTGCAGATTTATGCAGTTGCCACACCGCTTCACTCCCCCACATGATCCTGCATTCGGGCGAGCCTGACTAATTTGCTCGTATGGCCTTCACTGCGGCTGAAGTGCGTTGTCTACCCATGAGACAGGGCAGTGATCTGTTTGTGCCTGGGTCGCGCACTGACATGGGGAAAAAGACGCTTTTCTATTCACGCACCAAAGATACCTAAGGAAACTTCAGAACTCCCGGACTTCCCCAGTCGTCTCTTTACAAAATCATGACTTATCTCGTGGAACATCTGAGGACGTCATGACCTGTTTTCCGGCCAGGACGTCACTAGTGTGCATTTATGTGTGTTCCGGAGCATCTATTTTTTATGGCAGTCTCTGCCGTGATGACCTATGAGCCATCCATTTATCTACTGACGATGGGTTGTAGCAGCGCATAGCTGATTCGGGACTACCCAAGTGCACCTCAATCAATCAGTTAGTCTCACTAAGCACAGCTCGTTACACGCGGACATTGACCTGCCACTCATATAACCTAGGCAATGAAGTAGGTTTCACAGATTTCTGGCTGGTAGTTCTGTAATGGAGAGTGCAAATTTCCTAGGCGCATTGGAAGTGACTGCTAGAAATCTGAATTTTGAGCATTATGCAAAGCTACGGAATTAGTTTCAAACACTGCAGTAATAGACACCGGCTTTAGTTATGATATGAAACCGCATAGCAATTCTCAACTTGACATAACGCGGTTTGTTACAACAAAGAGTGTACAAATGAGAGCAAACCGGTGGAGAGCGATTTATATGTATGGATTGAACCCTGTAAGACCTTTTTCTCCAACACTGGTATTGTCCTAGTAAGTTGTGGGATAGTGCATGGGGTTTGTTCCGGCTCATTTATGATTGTGATGCGGCCGCTGACTGAACATGTTCTCACATTTATCGGTGCATGCGGCGTCTTAGGTTTGAAACGAACCGACGTGCTTACCGGTTTTAAGCCCGCTGTGTCGACAACTCATGCACTATGATCTGTGTCCTGACCACCGGGCCTTTTGGCATGGTCAGTAAATGCTACTTTAATGGAAATGAAGCTTCCCAAAACGAAAATCTGTATAATGTTTGTAACGCATGGCACTTTTATCTTTATTTGGCGTGGTGTATTGCATTGATAGATACGTATATATATATATATATATATATATATATATATATATATATATATATATATATATATATATATATATATATATATATATACATATCAAACGGTTTCCGACATATTTGACTTCAGATGGCAATTTAGGTTGCTGCAAATGTGATCGGAGGCAGAAATACACTTTTCAATCGTGCCCTTCGCAACCCCAGACTGGGCGTAAAAGCCAAGTCTTATGGGCATAGAAGCTAAGCCTCCCTCCCCCTAGAGCTGCTGCGCGTTAGACGGGTTAAGACAGCGGGCCCTGAGCAGCCCCGAATGTCCCTTTTGGTACGGTGTCACATCCTGGCGTCAGTCGTTGAACGGATCAGTGACTTTGTTTTCTCAGTCGTTGAACGGATCCGTGACCTTGTTTTCTTTCGACACGGCTATCTGGTGCCGCAGCCTGCGGATGATGTCCTCGGCGTCTTTGGCATACTCGCAGTCGCGTCGCACGAACAGCCAGTCGTGCTGGAGCCGCATCGCCAGGTAGCCGTGAGACTCCATGAGCCAGCGCATGAGGTCTGTCTGCGGGTTCCAGAAGTAGGAGAGGAAGTTCTCAACCAGCAATATCTGAAAGGGACGGGCCGCTGTCAGAGACGCGGCGGATTGAAGCAAAGATCAAAGTTACTGACCGGGCACCGAGGTCATGTAGCTGAGACCTAGTGGGTGGACGTTGTCATGCTTCCGCCGCCCCTTTCACCCCGTAGCTCAGTTGGAAGAGTGCTGGGCATCTGACCACTCGGGTGATGAACCATGTAGCTGTGCACCCCACCTAGGGTGACGAACCATGTAGGTGTGCACCTCAAAGACAGCGCTCAATATTGATCTCACCAAGGACGATCGACAACAGCAACTGGGCACGCGAGGGTCGGGATGACACGGGTCTTCCGCGTCATGGTGTTTGCTTACATTGACAACAGAGAAAAGAAAAGCTTGTCGGCGACAGGAAATAAGATGACTTACGGGCGTTAGACACTTGAACGCGCACAAAAGTCGATGTAAACAAAAAGACTCTGAACTTCGGGTTTTCCGATATTTTGTTCAATATTCTGATGCTCACTGGACACTTATCGACCTTCAAGGTCTCAGGTGGTTCTGGTTCAACAACATTGTCAAGCAAACACTTGTATTGCCAATACTCGGCATTTCAAACTGTGCTCTTGATCGCGAGTGGTCAAGATATGCTTTGCCCCGCGGTGGCGTGTGATGATGTGCTTCTTTGATGACGTCATTTGCCCAGTACCCTCTGGTACACCGAAGGTCGTTAGCTGTCTCCTGTCAGCGTAGCAAGTCTGAGCTTATCATGCCGAACAGAAGTCGTCAACAGCACACAGCCGGCGCAATGCTCAGCGAACCCGATTTCCGCAGTGCAACCGCCGCGGGCACGGAAACGCTCACCTTAATGTCAACCAAGTGCCAGGGCATGTAGGCAAGAATTCCCATCTCGGTTCCCTCCACATCCAGGCTGAAGAAGTCCACCGACGTGCGGTTGAGAGCCAGCAGCACAGAGTACAGCGGGTAGCACTTGACCCAGTACTTGTGGATGCCTTGCGTGGGAGCCAGGCTTTTTCTGGCCTGGTCAGAGAGCAACTGGGAGACCAGGCCATCCTCCACCGTGTTCAGGCCAAACTTGAGCTGGTCGCGCAGCATCGCCTGAGGTGA